AAATCCCTCCTCCGGGAATCCCTCCTACTGCCCGCACTTCCCCAACCAATCGGCCTGATTTCAGGGCGGGTATTGCAGGTGGACCTTAATGGCCTCAGTTTTATCCTATCTCGAGCAAAATCATCGTTGGTTTGAGGGCTCAGGGCATCCCAGCTCCTGTTGCTGCATTGCACCTGGAGAAGGGATCCCCACGGGAGGCAGGGTCTCCAGGGCCTGCTGTCGCATGAGATAGAACCAGTGGCTGGATTAGGAAGACCAAGGTGCTTTGGAGCTGAGAGTCAGCCTGTCCTGCCCTCTTGTCACTGCCGGCTCTCCCGGTCCCTGGTGGAAGCCCCTCTGCCCTTCTACTGTCTTTAGAGTCTCTTCCTGGAGAGAAACCTCAGTAGAGCCAAAATAATCATTTTAGCTTTTTCTTTCCCTCCCAGGCTTGAGCAATCTAAGTGATGAATAAACAGAGTCACCACTTTTTCCACTTGGGGCCGTCCAAGCCATCGTGTTGATGGCCTCCAAGAAACATATGATTATTTCCACACTGAGCCACTCCACGGGCCTCGCCCTAGTGAAGAGTCAGCATCGTCCAGAGGACGGGACTTCTTCCTCCTCCAACATCCCCAGAGCCTTTTCCTTCACATTCTTTCAGCTGATGCCACCCACCCTCCCTTTAAACCCCAGACCTGAGTACAAAGGTCACTGTCAGGGTTAAAGTCCAGGTGACTGACGGCAAATGCCCAGGAAAGAGAGAGAGAGAAAAAAAAAACAACAGATCACCTTGGTAGTTTCATCACAAAAGCTGAGCCAACAGGTGGATGCAGCAACGGGGTGAATCATGCCTGACAGAGAGGAAGACAGGGCAGCCCCAATGATCCCATTTCCTTGAGGCAGGGCAGGTTCCCTGCATAAAAAGCCAGTTGGTGGAGGGCACCGCATCAGATCCCGCTGACCATACTGCCTGTCCTTCTCTGCACACCAGGTGAGTCTCTTGGAACTTCGGATCATTCTCTCTAGGCATTTGATTTGATTGGCACTGCGTAGACATTTCTGGTGTCTTCTCTCTGCCCTCTGCTGAAAGCTGATCATGGTCATGCAGACTGTCCAGCTGAATTACAGACTCCAGCTAGAGCTTTGTTTTAAAAGTAGTCATGGTTTGGGCTTGAAGGGACTTTAGGTGTCATTGGTTCTGCCCCGTCTGATCTCCAGTGTTAGTAAGAAGGGGATTGAGTAGCACAATAAAAAGTAGAAACGGGTCTATAGCACCTCGATTGGCATAATTCTGTCTTTAGTCATCATTTTAATCCCTCGGATCTTTATTCTCTCAATAAGTATTTTCACTATCAGAATTGCATTTTACTCATTTAAAAATGTTGTTCTCCAGTTGATTTTTAAAATTCAGCTTTATCAGTGTATAAATTACATAAAAATATGAATTCACCGATTTTAAATGTATAATTCAAGCTCTTTCCCAAAGTGATTGCATCATTTTACCTTCTCACCAGCAACGTATGAAAATTTAATTCCTCCACAGTCTTGTTATCATTTGGTGTTAGTGACCAAAATAAAGATATCAACAAATATTTTTTAAAACTTACTATATTTGGCATTTAGGCTGCTAAAAAATATTTGAGGCAACAGGGAATTCACTTCATAAACTACGTTTTATTCAGGAGAATAAGAACTAAAGCCCAAGCAGGAAGTTATCAGTGTCGGTTGATGAGGGCAAAGTGCTATAACAGTTGGAGGAGATAGAGATTTCCACAGGGCTTGCTCTAGCAAATTCCCCAGAAGTGCCGTTGGAGGTGAGGTGCAGGGGTGGTGTGGTATTTGAAAGCACTTGAGGCAGAGGTGCCTGTGAGCCAAGTGACAAGTGTGATCACGTGGCCTTCTGGAGAGGTCGGAGTGGCGCTAAAGGTGGGAGCCGTTCTGGTTATGAGTAGGTGGGGTTTGCTTTGTCTCTCTCTGATAATTCACATTTCTGAGTCTCACTCTGCCGGCGGCGGGAGCCTCTGCTGGGCTGGGCTGTGCGGCTAATGAGCTTTAAGGTGTGCAGCAGGAAAGCCCCGCTCCAGTGCCACAGAAGGATCACGTTGGAGTCCCTCCTCCAAAGACTCAGAAATCATCCAAGTATTCTTTGTGGTGCAAAGAGAGAAAGAAGAGCCTGTGCTTCTTAAGGGATGGTTTCTGAGTTCTTTCCCGCTCTCATCTTCTGTTCTGTCTCCAGGCCCAGCCGCCACGGAAGCATGAGTTCCCAGCAGCAGAAGCAGCCCTGCGCCCCACCCCCTCAGCTGCACCAGCAGCAGGTGAAGCAGCCTTGCCAGCCTCCACCCCAGGAACCATGTGTTCCCAAAACCAAGGAGCCCTGCCACACCAAAGTGCCTGAGCCCTGCCACCCCAAGGTGCCTGAGCCCTGCCACCCCAAGGTGCCTGAGCCCTGCCACCCCAAGGTGCCCGAGCCCTGCCACCCCAAGGCTCCTGAGCCCTGCCACCCCAAGGTGCCCGAGCCCTGCCACCCCAAGGCTCCTGAGCCCTGCCACCCCAAGGTGCCCGAGCCTTGCCCCTCAACGGTCACTCCAGTGCCAGCTCAACTGAAGACAAAGCAGAAGTGACATGGTCAGAGCCACGCCTCTGAGGAGCCCACCACCGGATGCTGAACCCCTTCCCCATTCTGGCTTTCAAGTTCCGCCCATCTTATAGGACATGCTCTATCACCTAAGTCACAGTCCCTCTCTTATTTGCAACCCAAACCATGTGCTAGGAACTTGGGGGCATCTGAGCCTCTGAATTAGGCAGGGGGGGGGGGCTTGGCACCTGAGCTGGGTTTGAGCTGCTCAGAATTTGTCTGAAGAGGGACTTAAGGGGAACCCAAGTGATCCAGCTCTGTCATTGTCCCCATTAAATTCCCTTCATGCCTCTGCTGACTGTGTGCGTCATTGTCTGACTACTCTCCTTTTCCTCATGAGGTGGGGGCTGTGTAGGGAGGCAGGAGGGGAAAGCGGGGGCTTTGTTCTGAAGGCAGCAATCCTGACGCTGGGAGTGTGGGAGGTCCTTACCGCTGGGCCTCCCGAGCTAGGGAGGAACAGTGTCCCCTGCCACACAAAGGCTGCTGCTTTGGGCACGCAGGGACGCAGCAGGGCTCTCTCTCCCCCTGCTGCTCAGTGCGTCACACTGGAGTTTAGTCAGTACTTGTCCCAGCTGAGCCAGAGGCGCCTGTGAGTCAGGCCACAGGCTCTCTCGCCCCCGGTGCCTACCTCCAAATCTGGCTTCTTCAAACAACTCCTGTTTATTTCAAGGAACTTGGTGGCTGCCTATGAGTCTGCTCCTCCTCGTCTATTTCTTCTGGGGAACGCAAAACTGCACTCTTGTTATCTCGGTCCCTCCTCTCTATTCTCTGAGTGCCCCTTCTGTGCCAGAAAGGGGATAAGGAGACTCCATGGTGCCTTCCAGGGACACTTTACTCCCTGCCGCCGCCACCCCTCATTCAGACTCCCACACCACCAGACCCGGCCCCCTCACAGAGTCACACACAAAAGCCGGTCCACTGGAGTCCCAAGGCAGAGACTTTTTGTACACATATTGTGGTGAGAACCACAGGAAATGGAGACTGTTAAGCCCACCCACATCTTCCTAGAGTATAAGGAGACATGAAATGAAACAAAACAGACACTAACAGGGCATCGATATGTGTGCATATATACACTGGCATAAGATTGACACTTTTTGATTTTTATTTTTAATTGATGCATAATAATTGTACATATTTATGGTATACAGTAGGATGATTCAATGCATGTGTGCAATATATAATGATCAAGTCAGGGTAATCAGAATTTCAACTCATGGTTTTTTTTCATATTTGGGGACTTTGAACTCTCTCTTGCAGTTTATCCTAAAATATATAATTTCTAATGTGAACTATAGTCATCCTACTCTGTTATAGAACATTGGAGCTTATGTTACTGGGGGACAAAGCACATCGTCCCGTGGTGCTATAAAAAGAGACATATTTTCCCTAGATTGGAAAATTAACTAATAAAAATATTATCCGCATTTGGTAAAACTGAAGCCATGGAGATTCTTTGATTCTTTTTCCCTGATTACATTCTTTAAAATAATACTATTTGGAAAACATGTACTTAGAAGTCTTTTTACCCTATGTCTTCTTGCTTAAGTGATAAATAAGCTTTACCATCACATCCAAGTGAGCATCTTCTAGTACCACAACCAACTAACCAAAAAAGCAAACAGTAGAAGGTATGCTCTAAAAACAAAATCGACCAAGTCACACTACACACATGTATGAATATATCACAGCAAACTCCACCATTATCTATATCTGTAAAGCATGTCTATAAAGGACATCTATAAAGCACCAATTTAAAAAGCAATGAATTGAAGGAAGACCAGTAGAGTGAAGGAAGAGGAACAGAGAGAGAGACAAGGGGGAAGAGAGAGGAAATACTGGGGACTGAAATGAGCAAATTATACTCTATGTGTGTCTGATTATGTCAAAATGAACCCCACTATTATGTATAACCATACATACTAATAAAAACATTTTAACAATGTGTTCTGATTAAGCTATTTGTATTAGGGTATTTGTATTAGGGTAGCTGCAGTAACAAACGGTCCCTGTTGCTGTTGCTCAGTTCAGTAGAAGTTGTTTATTCCTGGTGTCCAAGGTGGATTGGCAAGGTCTTTGCTCCAAACAGCCATGAAGGGACCCAGGTTCCTTCCCTCAGATGCTCTTGCAACTTCTGAATGCCTTATTTTCCTCCGAATTCAGGCAGAAGAACAGGGAAATATACTAAATATGGAGAATACATCCCTGCATTTATCCACTTGGAATCAAAAATTATATATATATATATATATATATATATATATATATATATATGTGATATATTCATACATGTGTGTAGTGTGACTTGGTCGATTTTGTTTTTAGAGCATACCTTCTACTATTTGCTTTTTTGGTTAGTTGGTTGCGGTACTAGAAGATGCTCACTTGGATGTGATGGTAAATCTTATTTATCACTTAACGGCTTGGGTAGAACCTGGTCACACTGGCCCTATCTACCTTATCAAGTCCAGAAATACAGGTTATTGGTGTTCCCATAGAGAAGAGGAACACATAAATGTCAGTGAGCCCGTTAAGCTTCTGCCATAGTTCACACTTCTGGTCCTCAAATGTCTATTGACTCCTCTTGTCTCATAAGCAGAACACAATTCCCCAAGGGGGTGGCGGGGTGGGGACCAGATTCTAGATAGACCAAAACGTAAGGTCTCAGGGTGACGTGGAATTCTCTTCATCATGCCTTCCTAGAACAACTGAAGGCTCAGCAAACTACAAAACAAACAGGTGAAACAACAATTCTTCCTGTTGCCCAGTGCTGCAGTCTGGCTGGGCACAAAAATAACCAGGAGGTCATGAGCACTTGTAGGTTCAAACAGGAACTACTTTATTGCCAGAACCCCATGGGAACACCACCGGAACTCAACCAAAACTCCGGGAGAACCAACGGGAACTCAACCGGGAACTTCAATTTTCATTTCTATAACTGCTAGAGATATTGAACATTTTTTCATATTTTTGTTGGCCAATTGTATTTCTTCGTCTGTGAAGTTTCTGTTTAATTCCTTTGCCCATTTATTTACTGGGTTATTTGGGGGTTTTGGTGTTACTTTTTTAATTCTTTGTATATCCCATCTGTTTCCCATTTTCTTCACATTCTTGATGGTTCACAAACCTTTTTAATTTCGATAGCTTGTTATTTTTCTACTTTTGTTTCTTGAGCTTTTAATGTCATAACTAAGAAATCATTTCCTAACTCAAGGTCATAAAGATTGACACCTACATGGTTTAAGGAGTTTTATATTTTTTCACACCTATGTTTAGGTCTGTGGTCCATTTTGAATGAACTTTTGAATACAGTAGACATCGTGGTCCAACTTCATTTTGTTGCAGTGAATATCTAATTGTTCTAGCACCACCTGCTGAAAAGACTCCTTTCCCCACTTAGTAGTTCTGGCATTCTTGTTGGAAATCAGTTGACCACTGACGCTGGGGATTTGTTTCTGGACTTCTCTTTTTCCTAGAATCACATTCCCTTGACTACTGTAGATTGGTAGAGATTTTCAAAATTGGAAGGTATGAGTCTTCTACTCAGGGCTGTGTTTTCAAGACTGTTTTGCTGCTGAGTTCCTTGCATTTCCACTTGAATTTTAGGACCTACTTGTCAGTGCCCATAAAAGAAAAAATGTACCTGGGATGTTGATGATGATTCCTTTAAGTCTACAGATCAATTTGGAGATTATTGCCATCTTAACAATATTAAGTCTTCTAATCCATGAACGAAGATCTCTTTTCATTTATTGAAGTCTTCTTTAACTCCTTTCAATATATATTTTAGTTTTTAGTGTCTGAGTCTTAAGCTTCTTCTGTTAGTTTTATTCATCAGTGTGTCATTATTTTGGTATTGTTATAAAAGTATCACTATATATTACACTATTACTTTTATTTTCAAATTATTTATGACTTGTGTATAGAAATGCAATTGATTTTTCACATGCATCTTGTTTTCTGTAATCTTGGTGAGTGCATTTATTAGTTCTAATACTGTGTATGTGTGTGTTTGTGTGTGTTCCTTGAGATTTTCTATATTCAAGACCATCCCACCTGCGAACAATGAGAGTATTATATTTTCTTTACAATTTGGATCCCTCTTATTATTATTTTTTCTTGCTGAATTGTCCCAGCTAGCACCTCTAGCCTAACATTCAAAAAAAAAGTGATACGAATACACATCTTTGTTTTATTACTTATTCTAGTGGGAAACAAACCAGTCTCTCATTATCAAGGATAAATATGGCTTGAGTGTTTCATACATGGCCTTTATCAATTTAAGAAAGTTTTTTCTATTCCAGGTTATTGAGTGTTTTTAATCTTCTTTATGTTAAATGAATTTGGTTAACTAGCATTTTTGGGGGGAGAGTTTTCAACTACACTCTTAAGAGACACCCATGTGTAGTTATCTTGCAATGTCATTGTCTGGTCTTGGAATGAGGGTAATATTGGTCACATGGAATGAGTTAGTAAAACTTTCCCTTCTATTTTTCAAATTATTTTTAATTATAGTAAGATAAATATAGCATGAAATTTATCTTTTTAACATATCCACACGTACAGATCAGTGGTAATTAGCCCTCTTTTACCGTGTTACGAAAATTTGTGAATATTGATGTTAACTCTTCTTAAAATATTTGGTAGAATTTCACAGTAAAGTCACTGAGACTGGCCTTTTCTTCATGGTAATGTTTTTGTATTATTAATGTAACCTTTTTACTTGCTATAGATATTCGGATTTTCTGTTTCTTTATAAGTCAATATTAATAGTTTGTGTCTCTCTGGTAATTTATCCATTTCATCTATACTATCTAATTTCTTGGAGCTCATAGTTGGTATTCAAATAATTTTGTTGGTATCCTTTTTATTTCTGTAAGGTCAGTAGAGATCCTGACTCAGGGCTGGTTTTGGTAATCTGAGTCTTCTCTCTTTTTTCTTGATCTCTAGCTACAGGGCTGAAATTTTTGTCGATCTTTTCAATTATTTTTCACTTCCTTGATTTCCCATTTTATATTATTTTATCCATTACTTCATTCATTTCCACTCTAGTCTTTATTATTTCCATAAAATTCTCCTTGCTTTGAGTTTAATTTGTTCTTCTGCATCTTGAAAGTTCTACGACATTGATTTGATGTGTTCTTTTTAAAGGTAGACATTTACAATCATCAATAAGGTTTCCCCCAGGCCTGCTTTATCTATACCCATAAGTTTTTACGGGGTGCATGACAATCATACATGATAGGGGGATTCACTGAGACATTCATACACACACATAACAGAATTGCTCAATTTCCT